GTTTTCACTATCGATTGATAGTTGAATGATTTTGCTCGAAACATTAACAGTAACCTATTAAGACAGCATGACAGTATGACAAAATGAATATAGACTTCAAAATAGTATATAGTGGTAGTCAATTCTACATAGATGGATGAAAAACTAAAATAGAAATTGGTTGGCAAAGAATGTTGCTATGCTCAGTAAAATATATTGTCACCCAGTAAATGTGTTTACCCACCAGCCAATGTATGGTACGGTAACTTAATTGTGGTGAATTTCTCAATAGCAAATCAGTTGTTTGTTGGGTACTGTGTTAGGTAAGCTGACTTTCATCAGGTCCCTAATTAATGGGTCTGACTGGATAACGATGTGCTAATCTTGTGTTTACAATTTGATGATTACCAAAAAATGTAGTAAACAGGAAATCAAATTGTTGACGTCACACACTCGATGACACCTGATGTTTGGAATGATGTTAACTAATTTTGGAACAAGCTATTAATCAATAATTTTTCTCTCTTATTTTGGGGGGAATTTTTCAATTTGTGTTTTATTGTTTGATTATAATGTCAGATAATGAGCTATGATTGTGATAAGTAGTTATATTTGCTAGAAATAGTTTTAAATTAAGTTAAAAACAAGAAACAAATAATAAACAACAAAGTGACCTCAACAACAACAACAAACAAACAAACCTCAACATGAGCTGATAGAACTAACCTTGAAATTGTCTTCACTTCATGTAGCGTAATCAAAAGGTTATTGTAGAAATAATAAAGTGGACTGTATATGGGTTATTAATTTAATTTTGACAACAGAAAATATTGGACTTTTGGTATAATTTTTAATTCTGAACTATAGTTATGTTACCACTTCATGACGTTAAGGTCTTGAAAGAAGATCTGGTCGAATGTTGGCTCTAGTTGAGAAGATAATATGTTTCATTAATGTCCAAATGTTCTCACAGTAGGTACACAGAATTTAGAGTGAAATTAAAAAGGGTTTATTTAATGAACACAAAAGGAAAAGGTAAATGAAATAAGTCAAAATAAAAGGAGAGAGAAATGAATTATGTTACACAAAGAAACGATATTACAAGAGAGAAAAGTTGCACTTCTTGAACCAGAATGTTTTTCTTGGAATGTTTACATTTTTAAAATTTTATTATTATATTGTTGTTGACATGTGGGGATTATTTTAATATACTCATATGGTCAGCTGGCCTTTACTGAACACTTCACCTAATACATGTAAGGATGATCAATCTATAAGGAGAATGTTCAATCAGCTGGTTAAAGGCACGTATTATCCTTACATATAATACGTGAAGGCGATTTCTACAAAACACTACTCCTCCGTTAATAATGGACGGATTTTTACAAACCACGTTTCAAAATAAAGTATTTTTGAGTAGACGCCCCCTTTCACCAATTCCTGTAATCAAAATCCTTGGGCTTTGTCCCACAGGCCATCAAAGTTGGAGTTTCTCCCATAAGATTAACATGGGGGAATCTAAATTTTTAATTGGAAACTTTGTCCCCTCTAATTTGAGAGAACAGCTGGGCGTAGAAACTTGGTAGAGGTGTCCAAAGAAAGGTCTTGGTCTGTAGATGGGTTAGCAAAAGAAAAACTAATCAAAATCCCTTAGGACTCTGCCCCAGAAGCCTTTAAAGATCCCTCCACAGAGTCGTTTACATTTTGGCCATGTGAATAATACTTTTTAATGAAACAGCTGTTCATTTTTAAATTGTATTTCAAACAACACACATTTATTGGGAGTTACTGAATTCTACCAAATAAGTATTTGCAATGTTATTTTTTGATTTTAAAACTGATTTTCTTCTTTATCATGCCATGTTTTGCAATATAACGTTCCATTACGAAATCAGTGGAAAATCCTTTTATCACAGCAATTCTTAAATTATTTCTTATTGAACTATCTTATATCTATTGTACGGGTTGGTGTCTGCCTTTTTCACCACTTTTGCCTACATTTTATCATATTATTCTACACACATCAAATATTTATGTAGAAATATCTGCTCTTATCGTGTCTAATAAAATCCAAACAGAAACTTTGTCTAAAATGGTACCCATCTTGACAAATTATTTGCACCTACCTATATTATGGACTTTGGCGGTTTGGTAACGGTTTGGTAACATTATTGAAAATAACACGACATTTTGGCTGTAAAAGATGGTACAAAGAGAAAATACTATTTAAGCAGCTACAGTCATGACAGAAAGGTCATAATCCTTTTAAACTAGATCACATAATCCTTTATAAGATACGTTGATTAACAATATGTAAACGTCAATATATACGTAAAATCCAATTTACGGTATTTTTGCTTTTTGGAAATGTCCCATTGCTATATTATTTGTTGCCTATGAAGCCGCACTCTGTCCATATAAACGAGGAGGCCCCTAACAGTACAAGAATAAAAGCCAACTTCACTTCAAGTATTCCTCTACACCTAACATTCCGTCGAGAGATTATATTGACAACTTTATGTTATTATAGAAGGCTGTTTTGATAAGGCTGAAACAACTAACTGACATCCCCCATGTCAAGGAATTCCAGCTTTAACAGTAACCCCACAATCAATAATTTCTCAAAACTATGCTAGAGGGTTCATTCATTGGCACAGAAGTACGATATGAACTGACGCGACGTGATGAAGGAAAAAACAAACTTACGCTGTAACGGATATACCTCCCTTTGAAGTTAGAATATGTCTTCCCAAAAAAATATTTTCTTTTTAAATAAAATCATATTACACTGATGAAATCACGAAAGTGTTTAAGGCTGTGGTACACCCCTGCCACTCCGTGGAAATGCAGAGCTTTCGTTTTACACTGATTGCATACGCTGTATATAAGTTAAGAACAAACTTAAGGTCTCGTTTGAAAGCTTAACAGTTTATCTACCTTTCCCTGTTTTTAGAATTTCTTAAAATTACTAAGGGAAGTATAAAAGACGTATCAAATTGTATGGAAATTGGTACTTTTCAAAGTAGGATTAGAGGTGCAAAAAAAATTGTTGTTTAATTTTTAAAACTAGAGAAAGGTAGATTCAAGTGTGCCCTGCAATAATAAGTTTAGTTAATTTTAATAACCCAATAAATCAAAGCATTACGAGTGTAAAACCAACCGTCTGCAACCCAAAATTTTGCTGCCGTTTGGTGGTGCTCGTAGCGGCCAGACAGCGTAACTCTTGCGGCGCGCCCTACCCCTGCCTTTCCGTTTCCCCTCCACTGGTGAGGACACACGTGGTTGAATTTAAGCTTTGACATTTCGATACAGCTGTGTTTGTGAATTGTTGGAAAACATGTTTATGTTATAACTAGCAACAGAGCCCGTTGTGGTTAAATACAACGGTCTCTAGTAAAATAATGGTTGTGCAATCCATACACCACTTTACTCACTAATATTAATGGTACAGATTAAGCACATAACATTATAATCGCATACTTAACAAAAGGAACTCACTTTAAACACAAATGCAAATTGTTAACAACATTTAATCAAAGAAAAATCAATTGAATAATAATATAACAATAAGCTGTTAAATTATTAACATATGTTTTTTTCCGAGTCGGGTTAAAGGTCTTATACCCGACCGATTTTCATGATTTTGGCTTTAAACTAAAGTCATGGACGCACCACAGATTTAGTCCTACCTAAAGCACACTGCTGAATCATGAATCAACAATATTTATAATCGTTTTAGTACTTATCTGCAATCAATGATACTTAACTCAAATGTTATTTAAGTTATTTTATGTGTCTTGGACATAAAATACTTTAAAGGCTTTCACTTGAGATATTGATAGTTTTAATCAGTTAAGTTAAAGATATACTGTATCGCTCAATCAGAAAACATAAATTGAATTATATCTTGGATATGGAATTTAGTTTTAGATATATTTACTCAATTTTAATTACGTTATTCTATTTGTTTTGACCTAAGAACCTTCAGTGAAATACCAGCTTCCATTTGCATTATCGATTATTAAGATCGGATGTACCTAAAGCACACTGCTAAATCACGAACAACCCAAATTGTTTTAAAAATGGAGTTATTTATCATCGATTTATAGTTAAACGGTCTTGCTTGCAACCTCAACAGCAACTGTCATTAGACGGGTTTTACCTAGTACCCTAAATCTTTATAAAATCTAACTTTCATAATTATTTGCAAATCTACACGAATTAGGCTTTTCAATGACCTATTAATTAATAAAATCGGTTTAGTAGAACTGTATATTTAATTGTACAAAGTTGAACAACAAAATCTTTAGTTCAGTATTTTCTCACCATTATAAATTTGGAGGTTGCTTAACATTTTTTCAAATAACTTTGAAATGGTGAGGAAATCGACTAAAGTGGAAGGTGATATTCTGAAAGAGAATAAACTTTCCTTCAAATTGATACTATATACTTCTTGGAAACACTCAAGAAAGGCAACCAAAAGTCTCACTCAAATACAAAGTGTGAAAAACGCCGTTTTCAATGTATTTCTTATGTAAAACAAGTTTTTTTTAAATTTTTCACCATAAATCATAACAAAAACAAACTTTCATAATTATTTGCAAATCTACACGCATTAAGCTTTCCAACGACCCATTAATTAATAAAATCGGTCCAGCAGAACTCTAAATTTAGTTGTACAAAGATTTTTACAACTGAATTATTTAAAGAATAGATTTTTTTTTTGTAAGTTGTTACGATTCCACCAACATGCAAAAAGGAAGGACTCTCTTCAAAACGGAAGAATAATTACGGAAACGAACAATAAACACACAAACTTTCACATTTATAATATTTGTAAGATAATAATCGAGTTAAGAAAGTAGAAAAAGATCAACTATGAGCGTACCACTACACGTATAATGGTTCTAATTCGGTAACGATTCGCTCAAAACTGAAACCAAATTCAAATCAAATTTTCTTTGATGACTGACTAGGCCGAGGGCTTGCTACCTATGCACACTACCATCAGCTCCAGGACGATGGCTAGCGACAGTGACGGTACGGTAGTCCACTATGGAGCGGTGGAGCTGAATGATCAGCTGTTGCGAGACTGGGGTGGAACACCCCTCGCACCGTTGGACGCGCCCGCGAAGGCCGCACGATAGGGCTTTCTGCTGTACTAACATCCATCACCGGCACACGTGCTGTCGTACTCAGTCTCAGTCTCATTCTGTTATAATATCCTAGATTGATGTTTCACTCGTTTGTATTGTAGGTTCTATTATCTAGAAAATACACGTGCATTTAGGGGTTATTGTACATATAGGGTACATATAGGGGCTATTGACCCTACAAGCCACTAGTGAAGGTAATGTAATGTGTGATTTTTTCTAGCTGTCACCGGATATGTTTACATTAAATGTTGTTTACAAATACTGCAACCATTTTCGATCGCGGTTTTGTAAGAAAATCCAAATCCAAGTGGGACTAAAAATTGTGTGCCTCACATAAAGCGGCCTACACACTACATGTGCATTGCACGCCGTGCCATTTTTTTATTGGCACGCCGTGCTCGGCTCGGCACGTTATTGCCCACACACTTGATCTTCAGTGTAGCCTGAAACGTGCTAAATTGCATCGTCTTTTCGTACAAATTAAATGCAGAACACACTGACACGTGGCATGTTTTAAGGACATAATTAGTTGATAAAAAATAGAAACTAGACAGCACTAAGTTTGTTTGTGTTTGTAAATTGTGTAATGCCTGCCATTTTGGCTAGGGGTGAGATATCCACCTCGGGTTTGCTTCATTGTGTTTCTTTTGACAAATCCTTCAAAATGAAGGGTCACTCAATAGGGGTTGCTATTTGAGAAAAATGAGTCACCCCCTACCCTGTTAGAGGGGTTACAAAATATTTTTGATGTAAAAAATTGCGAAACCTTTGTTAACAATTATTACCACAAACAAAATATGTCTATCTATTTCTGTTTTAAAAATACAGATTTGTTTCGATACTTAATTTACACACTGTATAATAAATCGATACCGTAGTTAAGTTATACATATACAGGGTTAGTAAAAAAGTGTGGAGACCCCCTGTTATTTTTTTTACGGGCCATACTAGAAAAACGAAACTCGGCACACCTTTATGGCATGATATGAAGAATTTTTTGGGCATAACCGCCACATAGTGTACATCCCCAAAATGGGGGATTTTGAGGGAAACTCAAACATTTTAAATGATAAGCACCATCGAGTGACCCCTTATTTTGAAGGTCCTGGTAAAAGAAAACTAACAACGCAACCTAGAGGTTTCCATCTCAATCCAGTAATAAATGGAAGCTGATTGAAATCTTTAGAAATCAGAAATAACTTGCAATTTTATATTAAATTGGCTGCCATATTTTACCGTGTTAAGATAGATACCTCTAGTTTGCGTTGTTAGTTTTCTTTTATTATGACCTTAAAAATGAGGGGTCACTCGACGGGGGCTTATCTTTAAAATGTTTGAGTTCCCCCAAAATCCTCCATTTTGGGTTTGGGAACCAAGTAGCTATTATGCTTAAAAAGTACTTCATGACATGCTAAAAGGTGTGTAGAGTTTAGTTTTCCAAGTGTGAGCCGTTACAAAATTTACAGGGGGTCTCCAGACTTGGAAAGCTGTAAGTTAAATTTAAGTACTGAGAATTTCAATTGGCTACCATTTTTTACTGGATTGAGATAGAGACCTATAGTTTACATTGTTGATTTTCTTTTACCAGGAACTTCAAAATGAGGGGTCACTCGATGGGTCTTTCCATTTCAAATTTTTGAGCTTTCTACAAAATCCCCCATTTTGGGGATGTGCACCAAGTGGCGGTTATGCCCAAAAAGTACTTCATAACATGCCATAAAGGTGTGCCGAGTTTAGTTTTTCTAGTATGGGCCATTAAAAAATTACAGGGGGTCTCCACACGTTTTACTAACCCTGTACATTAAATCTTACTTGTACATCGACATTTATTTATCCATTAACTTTCAAGGGAGGGTAAATAAAATTTCTGGTAAAATCAGCAAGCTTAAAACTTAAATGGAAGATATTATGCTATAATATTTGAGTTTTCATAGGTGCTGTAAGCACAATTAATAGTCAGTGGTCAGTGTGAGTAGCCAGCGGTTGCAGTGGCAGAGTTGAGCGCAGTGATAAGCGAGCATTTGTTGTTGTGTACCGTGGCTGGCTCGAACCAGTACCAGTCCAACCCAACCACTAACTAATCCCCTCCACGGAGGCGGTGTCCCTTCCCCTCACGCGCCTGGCCGAGGAGCGCGCCAAGCGGCAGTCGGTCGAACTGTAATGCGATTTTGCCGCGAAGGTAGACCGGACCCTTAACTACAAAAGATCCATAAATACGATTTTAATACTATTTAAACGTTCTTCCAAAGGAAGATATACCATATAACATACTAATAATAATACCGATGACGTACGGTATGGGGAATATTTTATTCATTGAATGATGAACCAAATTTGGCAACTAAGCTATTAATATCATTATTGTTTTAACACTTATTACTCTTTAAACAATGCTAAATGTTCAAAATATGTATATTTCACCCAATTTATCGCAGTTAGGTGAATTAACGTAAGCCTTGAAAGTAACCGTCGATTTCGACGGGTTTCCCCTAGTCCTGTATATTAATAGGAAAGCATTTTTCTTTGAAACCTTTTTTCTCAGCTCGTGCGTATCGCAGGGAAATTTACTCATACTGTTAGAAAGATATTTTCCTGTAGATGTGCAGAATCAGAAGAATATATGTTATAACAGAAAAAATACATGTTATGCTCTCATATAGCATAGGCCATAGGTGTTCCATCTTTTATTAGTATGAAATAAAATATTATTCACTTTGTACAAAGAAATTTTGTTTATTCATCTTCGTTAGAGAGGATAAAATCCAAACAATAATTATAGATTTTCTCATTTCTATTCCAGATTAATTGTATCAAAAACATAGGTATAGGTATCAACAAATCACTTGTAAAATTATTACAAAAAACAACAGGTAGCCTATTGAAAACACCTTAGTTATATTTTGACATAGCAATAATATTTTAAGAGCAACTATTAATTTACTAAACTTATGAATCTATTGAAAGACAATATACACACCTGATCACTTTATACAGAGTAAAATTTAAAAATAACTTGGAATAATGTTGTAATAGCAAATATTCATTATAAGCAGATTGACACGGGGAAATCTTATTGATCTTGACTGGAAATGATGCAATATTTAACACATGAAAATCAGGGATTCCGCTATAGCCCTTGCCAACAGTGCAGAATAAATATTTTCAGAGAAAGTTGTAAAGGTCTGGACCCTGATTGTTGCTTTTTGCTTTAAAGGGTCTACCTATAATATGTTATAAATCATTATCTTTCTATCTCATAACATTAACAGAGTTTTACTTTTAGGCTATAGACAATAGACAATAGACAATAGACAATAGACAATAGACAATAGACAATAGACAAGTTTATTAGTCATTAATTAATTCACAAGAATTACAATAGACATCGTCAATCTAAACAATAGAAACATTATTTATAAACAACTATAAAATTTAAGTCTTTGTTTACAAATTGTATATTGAAGAAATCACTTAACTTGTACATAGGATTAGCTTTACACCAAGAGAGCAGTTTTTTGAAAATTCATTTAAGGGCAATGCACGAAAATCAACTGGAAACATGTTAAATATTTTGATCCCCAAGTGGGTATGATAGTTTTGAGATCTAGACAGTCTTACTCTACTTACATCAATAAAATTTCTATTTCTAGTTAAGTGGCTATGGACATTTCCTCTTAAAACATGTTTGTTTGAGTTCTTTTTCACAAAAATGGAGACTTCATAAATATACAGATTTACAACAGTTAATATACTAGATTCTATGAACAGAGATTTACAATGATCTAATCTTTTGGCACCAGTAACAATTCTAATGACTTTTTTCTGTATCAATAACACCTTACCAATACCTACTCCATTACCCCAAATCACAATACCAAATCTTATGATGCTCTCAAAAAATGCAAAATAGGCTAATTTCAAATAGCTATTAGTGACATGATTCCTTAAACTGCTTAATAAACATTTGACTCTGGATAACCTTGTACAGATAAAATCAATATGATGCTGCCAAGACAGCCTATTGTCAATATATATACCTAAAAGCTTAACAGAACTAAAATCACAGATGTCATGGGTTGAAACCAATAAATTGTCAGTTTTGTCAACATTTAAAAGCAAGCCATTTGCAGAGAACCACTCAGTCGATTCACCTAAGGCATTTTCTGATAGGCAGTGCAACTGCCCTAAGTCACTGTGGCTACAGAACAGTGTTGTGTCGTCTGCATAGATTGTGACATCACTACAAGAAACATTAACAGATAGATCATTCATAAGTATTAAAAATAAGATGGGGCCCAAAATTGAACCTTGCGGAACTCCAAAATTAACATGAGTGACTTGCGATGTAATACCATTGACCTCAACCATTTGCCTACGATTACTAAGATATGACACAAATAAATCTAATTCACAGCCTTGAAATCCATAATGAGCTAATTCGTCTACAAGAATGGGATGATTAACACAGTCAAACGCTTTACTCAGATCACATAAGGTGATCTGAGCAAAGCACCTATCCTCTAAAGCGTTTAAAAGATTATTTACAACATGATCCACCGCTAAAGTTGATGAAAGACCTAACCTATAAGCAAATTGACAGTTACTAAACAGATTACTATGTTCAAAAAAATTACATACTTGGTTTTTGACTATTTTTTCCATAACTTTAGCCATTGTAGAAATACATGAAATGGGTCGGTAACTGCTAGGCAAATTTTTGTCCCCTTTTTTGTACACCGGGACAACCCTTGACAATTTCATAAACGATGGAAAAACACCCTCTATGAGACAGCGATTTATACAATAAGTGAAAGGACTTAAAATAACAGAGCAAACATTTTTCAATAAATTACTCGTTAACCCATACGCATCTCTAGTATCAGAATTTTTTAACGACACAATCACATTTAAAACATCTAATTCTGATACCATTGTGAATTTAAAATCAGACACAGGTTGAGCACTTTTTGCCACCATTTGATGAGCAATGCTTTTTGACACATTCACTTTCTCACAGATTTCTTCCACCGCCGTGGAGAAATAGGAGCTGTAGTCATCAGGGGATAGCGCTGACATATTTTTCTGCGTGGACCTCCCAGCAGCTGAGTTAATTACCGACCAAGCAGTCTTGCACTTATTGGTAGACCTCTCGATGAGTTCTTCGTTTTTTCTCTTCTTTGCTTCTCGGATAGCAGTGCGATACTTGCTCTTTAGATTTTTGGATAAAAAAAGAATGTCCTCATTACCATACATTTTATACACATCTTGATAAAACAGTATTAATTTTTTCATTTTTTCCAGCTCTGGGGTGTACCAGTTAACTTTATTTTTGAGAGTTCTATTTTTAAACACCTTCTTCTTCACCAAAGGAAAACAATCATTAAAATTAGAGAAAAAGCAGTCCCAGAACAGATTGAAACTTTCTTCAGCAGATAAATTAGGGTCAAAAACCAAGTCCCAACTGACAGTGCTAAGGTTCATAATAAGGTTATCAACCATAACAGGCGTGAATCTTCTGGTCCATACTTCGCCGTCTTTCTGAAGTTGACGTTCCGCAGAAATTTGAGAATGTTCCAGTATTAACGCATCATGGTCCCCTAACAACGGGTTTACAACACTTATTTTATAGTCTGAAGAATTAACATTGGTTAGAACATTGTCAAGACACGCTGCGCCTCTAGTAGGTTTGTCATTTGCACAAAAAAGATTAAACTGTCTAAGTATATTCAAAAAGTTTGTAACACTAGGCTTTACAGTTGTGATGTCAAAGTCCGCATTGAAATCGCCACCAATCATGAGTTTACTTGTACTTCCCCTACTGACTAGGAAAGCTAGCATATCTTCCAAAGACCGCAAGAAAATGTCTACATTACCCATAGGCGATCTATATAATGACACAACAATTAGGTTAAAATGAGGTAGTTCAACCGCAGTGACTTCAAAGTCGAGTTCTAAACAAAATTGATTCAAATCAAATCAAGCTAATTGACAGGACCGAAACTGTATACAATCTGATAATCTGTATTGCCAAATACTACATAAATCCATGCCTATTTGAGATACCGGTATACAATACTTTGCAGAAAAAAGTTACAAATTTAATAAGAACCATTCAGTATGTATCAACACAATTCACAAACTAGTGTTGGGCTTTCTCGTTTTACCTAAGCAATAACCAGAACCTTTCTAGCAAAATATGTTCTGTTCAATAAACATTGTTGGTGTATTTTAGCGAATTTCCCATATTATAGGGAATAAGCTAATACCGTAGTACTCATGATAAGACGTGGAACCGGGACCGATTTACTTTTTTGTTTTGGGGTCCCTAGAGGTAAAACCACCATCCGCGTTCAAATGCATATATATGGGTCCGTTCACAATAACTCGAGCAAAAATGATCCAATTTTGATGAAATTTGGTATAAATGTGTAAACCTACATTTCAAATGAGTTATTTGTGAACCAGCATGATCTGACTATGGGAACTTTGACCCTAAAACATAACGTTTTGCAATTTCTTTTAAAACCATTTTGTTGAGCTTAAAATAAAAATAATTTAGTACATGTTGAAGTGTTATCATGCTACTAATGGTTACAAAAAAAAAAATTACAAAAATTTGAATTGTAAAAATTCCCATGTTATTTTTATGGAGAATAAACTTTTGTAGTTTGCCTCTTTATGAACATATATTTTGATCAAATTTGGATAATACATTTATTTAATACTTAACTATTAACATTTCACAAAAACACTTTATACTCTCCCTGTTGCAGCAAACCTAAGTACTTTTTAAACTAACGCTACGTAGATAGGGAATAAATGAGATATTTTATTGTAAATCCAATCAGGCAAATGGAAATTTGCTAATCTGCAGGATTGCTGCGGCTGGGGTATTTTAAATTTATTTTGTTATTTACTTTGTTATTTCAATAAACTTTACTGGTACATGCACCAGAGTACATGAAAATCATCTACTTTTAGCGAATTTCCCTGTATAGAGAAGTAGCTAATACCGTTAGGTGGCAAGGTAGGACCCGAGCCCTGGGCCGAGTTACTTTTTAATTTTGACGTCCCCGGAGACTAAAAACACTATCCATTTAAATTGTTACAAATGTATATATATATATATATATATATATATATATATATGTGTGTGTGAATGCGATAACTTGAGTAATTTTGGGCGAATTTTAATTAAATTCCGTTTAAAGGTGTAGGGCTGGATAAACTTGAATGAGTTCGCGAACTAGCAAGATCGGGTCATGGGAATGGGGTAGGGTTTTCTTATTTTTGACCCTCAAAATATAAAATTTCCCAAATTCTCTGCAAACCACTTTGAAGATCTTAAAAAAAATAAAAATAATTAGAATATTGAAGTGTTTTTGTACGGCTATTAGTTATACGGGAAATTAAAAAAATTTTAAATTAAAAATGTCCATCCATGTTTTTTTCAAGGAGAAAAGTAAACTGCTGTATTTTGCTTGTTTATGGATATATTTTGATCAAACTCAGCCAATTTATTTATTTTATGCAAGCTATTAACATATATTTTACTAAAAACACAATATATTACCTTCCTTAGTTCCTAATAGCAGCAAACCTAGTTACTTGTTAAACCTAATGTTATTTAAATAGATTTAAGTGAAAATGCAATCAGGCAAATGGAAATTCACTTAGTCTGCAGGTTTGCTGGGGCGGGGATATTTCATCATACATACAAAAGGGAAACTCATGTTAGATGGAGAAGGGATTGCGAAAAAGTCTCTATAACCCACAGCTTTACAATACTATTCATCTTAAGTTTATTCCTACAATGTTTTTTAACTTTGGCCTTTGCTTGGTTTGCTGTTACAGGTTTTCAGCAAGTTACAGATCAAAGTTACTACAGACCTGATCCACCAGATAGCAGCAGGATTACCCGGAGCTCTAGAGTCGGTACTGCTGGCAATCAAGAATAAAGTAGACTACCAGCAAAGGCAGAAGGGCGAAACTGATTCTGGACAGACTAAAACTGCCTGGGGTTAGTTGTTATTGTTGCTATATGGTTTAAAGATTGACACAATAACATGAACTTTATTTAACAATCCAATAAAACCAATTGGTTAGGGTTAAAAACAATAAAATATTTACACAACACGTTTGTTTAATGTAATTAAAACATTATCAACTTGAGAGAATTTATGGATTATATATTTTTACTTTCTCCCAATATATAATTTTAGTATATTATGGAGAAGTATTGTTTATGTCATCAACATTTCCAGATGCAAATTCACCAATCCTTTTAACGACCCAGGACAGGTATGAAAAAAGGGTCCACCAAATAATCATATCTATAGATTTTTGTATAGACCCAGCCCTTCATTATAAGGGCTGTTAACAAACTAATGGGAAAAAGTACAGTAGAACCTTGATAACAAGACCCTCATGGGGATTATTAAATAATACTTGTTTTCAAGTTTGTAATTTTCTCAAGGTTTGCAATAATAAGATGTGGTCATAGGTAAAATAAATTCTAGGGTTTTAGAAACTGACATACTTGTTATCAAGGGTCACTTTTTATCGAGGGTCTTGTTATCCAGGTTCTACTGTATGGTATGTGTCAGTTAGCTGATACAGTTTAGCATTTACTAGAGAACCCGTGCGGCTCAATGAGCCGCATAGTATGAAACATAACGCCGAGGAAAACGTTATGCTTAAATTCGAGTAATTCTAGTTACATCTTAGAGTTGTTTAAACACTTGTTAGAAACTAATTTTAAATATCTCTATTTGTGTCATAAAGGTTCACCTACATTATTTCTGATCTCAGTTTTAACTGATAACTTCTAATGAATGCTAATATGCTTCAATTCGAGCTAACATGTTGCAACAAAGTTTTTCCAGCATTGAGAATTTAAGAAAACTGTTGCCTAGACATCCCCCTAATCAAACAAATTTTCTCCGTAGAGAATCCTGAAAAGTGGAATGATATCAACCATTTAATGTGCTCCATTTTTTCCCCACAAACTCTGGGTTATCAACTGGAAAGCCATAATCTGCTTTGAATAGGCTAAAGCAGCAACACCATGAAATAGGTTGGATAACTCTCGTAGCTATAAGATTTGGATAGCAATTTTCATTTTCTCTTTTTGAACAGCGTATATTATTTGCCTCTCCTGAATCATAAAAATAAACTTGACTGTAACTAATCGATCGTTGAATACATAAACACTAATTCCTTCACTTATGTCTAATATTGCCACTAAAATTCAGTCAAAAAACTGTGTATACGTTTGTCAGAGGAACTGGCAACATGACCTAGAAGTAAACAATCCATTTGTGTTTTTCCTAAATTAAAGTAGAGCGAGTAGTACAAAAGTTTACAATAAAAAAAATAAGGTCCGCCAAGATTTGGTATAATCTTACTACTTGTACTTATCATAGTCAAGGTATTATTATTGTTTGTACTAAATTTTTTGAGATCTGTCAGTGTCAGGAGTAAACATTTCTCGCATCCATTCATTTGATCTGACATTAGGCAAGTTTATTTTACCATCGTGACAACACTATGTGCTTCGTATATATTTTCATTTACAAAGTAAGTAGCATAGCAGAACTGGCAAATATTATTCATCTCACCAAGTGAATGTGTATATGGATGTGTATCTGTTAGACCAGGCTTCTCTTTCTCTACTCTCCTTATACGCATAAGATACCTTATTATTAATTGTCTCCTCCTCCTGTTTTCAATATTTCTTCTTTGAACTTCAGGCATTTTCCGTTCTTCCAACAAAACTGATTAACTGTTTAACTTGGACTTAACCTACTGAATATTAAAACATCAATGTTTACTCCCCAAAAGCTAAAAGGTTTCTTTTTATAAACAGCTGTTTTTTGTTTTTAAATTTCTTCTATGTATTTCTTATGGGGAAAACCCGACCTTTGAGAGGGTCTCGCGCCCTTAAGAGTAGACATTTTAAAGTTCTAAAACCTTATTGCAAAACTACATATTGAGACGAATCTTTTGACACCTTAAACGTTGAAATTGGTCCACAAATAAGGGAGGAGTTGCGTTAACAAAATACGGCTTCACGTATTATATACAGGGTGTTTTTTTAAAAACTTGCATCTTTATTTATGTAAAAACCGCAATAGATAGAAATATGCAGTTTGCGGGAATCATCTATTGACGTAGGGGGGCCAATTGTTTTGAATTCAACGTTACATTCACATTCCCCCCTTTCCCCCCCTGCCCCCCAACTTATTTTTTTTAAATAGCAAGGTACCCCTTGTGACATATCAAATAAAAGAGCATAAAAAAAGAAAATGTTTGATGAAAAAAAATTGAAAATCGGTTCATAAATTTGTGAGATATTCCCCCCCTCACCCCCCCGGAACTTTTTTTTTTTAATAGCAAAGTACCCCTTGTGACATATCAAATGAAAGAGCATGAAAAAAGAAAATTTTTGGTGAAAAAAAATTTAAAATCGGCTTATGAATTTGTGAGATAATCACCCCCCTTTTCCCCTACCCATAACTTGTTTTTTTAATAGCAAGGTACCCGCCCTTGTGACATATCAAATGAAAAATAAATTTCACCAAAATTTTTCTTTTTTTATGCTCTTTCATTTGATATGTCACAAGGGGTACTTTGCTATTAAAAAAAAATTAAGTTCCGGGGGGGTAAGGTGGGGAATATCTCACAAATTTATGAACCGATTTTCAATTTTTTTTCATCAAACATTTTCTTTTTTCATGCTCTTTTATTTGATATGTCACAAGGGGTACCTTGCTATTTAAAAAAATTAAGTTGGGGGCAGGGGGGGAAAGGGGGGGAATGTGAATGTAACGTTGAATTCAAAACAATTGGTCCCCCTACGTCAATAGATGATTCCTGCAAACTGAATATTTCTATCTATTGCGGTTTTTACATAAATAAAGATGCAAGTTTTTAAAAAAAACACCCTGTATATAGATATATTAAAACGTGACAGGGTTTTTTTATTTCACGATTTTGAACCAACCACTTGACGGATTTTCATGATTTTTGTATTAAAAGAAAGATAATTTTGAGAACTAGGGAATGTCGAAGCCATAATTTTAGTTTAGGGTTTCAGTTTTATAGAAATTAAGTTTTAAATTTTAAAAAATCTAGCAGTCGACCTAACATTCTACTCTAGCTTTTGGTATAAAACCAATTGCTTAACAGCTGTAAACATTCAGTGTTTTCAACACAAATTCCAACATTTGGATGAAAATGAAATCACATGCGTAGAATTGACTTATTTATACTATGTGTAATGCTATAATCATTGATACGTTCATTTATTCGGTAAGATGATGAGATGATTGATAATTGATTGATAATTGATTATTTAAATATACCTACATAGTAAAATAATAGATGTTCTAATTTATTTTTTTGAGCAGTCATTAAAATATTTAGTTTGTTGAATTAAAAAATATTCTATAGAACTATGAGGTTAGTTTATTTACTCTGTGATTTTGTCATTGATTATAGGAAATAAGTAAGATTCTATAACCATTGCTATATATGAATCGAAGTTCACGAATATTTAAAACAAAGCTTATGAAAATTATTTTACTACTCTACTTTTTGAGGAAAGGTTGGGAAAATAATAATAATCACATGTTTTAATTAAGCTTGGCAGCTTTTTCTTTACTATAAATTTTGAACTGCTTAAACTTAGTAATAGACACACTATAAACACTATACAGTTTTAATGGACTACTCGATTCCCGTACGTAGGACGGGCCAACAGCTCGTTTTTGTTATTTCAAAAGAAGCTAATAATTTATGAATTTGTTACTGTAGGCTTGTCTATAAGAAGTTTCAATTAAAACACTAATGTTCATTGTATTAAAACTTCTTGTTCCGTCTGTTTGGTTCACCTTTAGACAGTTGGAGTCACTACACTAAGTTCTTGATCCACCTTTTACCTTTTAAGATGTTATAAAAAAGTATAAATATAATAAGTTACCTACATAATTTTGATTTATTATAAATACAATTTAATCAACCTATATTGTTTTGTGGTTGAAAATAATATCATAATATTGCTGTATCCCCAGGTGACTTTGGAGATGGTTCTGGACTAAATGATCATGAAGATATGTTTCTTGAGATTAAAAAACTAAAAAATGAAGTTCAATTGAAAAATGAAACAATATCTGTACTGAACCAAAAGGTGATTTAGTAAATTTCTAAATAGTTTTCTTTTGGATAGAGAGTATTTTTTTAAAGGTGTTAACAATTCTTTTGGTGAATTTCCTATGGAGTAAGTTATAACCGTAAGCGGCATACCTAGAAACCTAGACCTGGGACCAATTTACTTTTTCAGTTTGATGTCCCCAGACCATACACAATTTGTTCAAATTTTTATACAGTAATGTATTTTGAGGGTTACATGAATGTGTAGGGCTGGATAAACTTGAATAAGTTTGCGAACCAGCAAGGTCAGGTCATAATAATTTACAAATAAAAATACTTTTTAAAAATGCCACGTTTTTAAACGCACTAAAAAGTATAAAATAATTTATAAAATGTTTAGAGAATAAATACTTGTAAGATTTAAAACAAAAAACGTGGGGCGCATGCTGATTTACAATTAACTTCACCTATTAAACTATTATGATCTATTGCATGCGCCCCACGTTTTTCGTTTTAAATCTTATAAGTATTTATTCTCTCAACATTTTATAAATTATTTTATACTTTTCAGTGCGTTTAAAAACGTGGAATTTTTAAAAAGTATTTTTATTTGTAAATTATTTTCTAATTTTTAGTCTTTAATGTGTAAATATGTTAAACATATTTTATATGGCCTCTTAATACATAACCAAAACCCAAAACCTTATTATCTGTAATCAGATGTTTTATCTTTACTTTGAAATGATTGTTTTATATTTTTAGAATATCTCGGGAGCAGAACCTGTACCTCTTATCCTCTGCTCTTCTAACTGTCAAATTTAAATATTTACAGCTGACTTAAATTAATTTATATGTTTAAATTCTTTTAAAATGTAAACATGGAAAATTTGGAAGCCAAAGGGGCGTAGCCCAAGGGAAATATGAAAATTAAATGATATAATATTGCATTGTCATCCATTTATGAGCTATGTTTCAAATTTCAAGTCTCTAGCTCATCGGGAAGTATCAAAATTTGCAAGAATGCGATTTAATAAAAAAAAGCCCCATGGGGCGTAGCCCAAGGGAAATATAAAAATTAAATGACATAATATTGCATTGTCTTCCATTTGTGAGCTATGTTTCAAGTTTCAAGTCTCTAGCTCGTCGGGAAGTTAATATAAAATTGATATCAAAATTTGTACCGGAAAAGAAAGCGAGCTAATAAAAACGTTTTAAAAAAAAGGGATGATATGAGTTTTTGAAATTTTCAAAATATGTTTTTTTTCTAAATTTCCACCTTAATGTTTGAAAATGCCCAACTTTAATCTCACCCATAGTGTAGAGCTGAAAAAATAAATCACTTTGTACACTTTGTTTATGATTAAAGGTTACGAGAAAATTCCAAAAAACGGTCTATTTAAAATTCCTTTGTTATTCTTTTGTGGGATGATAAAAATGCTGTAGTTTACTTGTTTATGAATGTATTTAGGTGAAATTTATTTATTTCATACTATAGTACTAACATTTTCCTAAAAAAACCCCAAAATATTTTTTTTTAGTTTAAAAATCTGTATAAGTTTGTATAACTCCAAACAAACGTTCCCGATATATGAAATACGTTTATGTTTTTATAGAGGCGTCCTTCTAGTGTGTAAAAAACATTGGAATATAATGATATATCAATTTTTGAATTTTTTTATTATCCAAATCATGACTGTTATGGTCAGGGACAATGTTACGGTCGGGAAATAATTAATCGGTTGGCGATTAACAAGAATCATTATATTGTTTATTTAGATTTTCATCCCACTACTCTTATTCTTATAATATTCCACAAGACTTGATAAACCATAATTTATTTTTTAAACATTATAGTTATATATATAACTTTATTCAATATAAGCGTTACTTCATATAAGGTAATAAAAATACCTGTCAATGTAAACATAGTTCAATAGTTATTTGTGTAACTAGTGGTGAAAGTGGCACTTTGCTGCACACGAGAGCAATGTTTACGCACGAGCTGCGGGCTAGTGCGGAATGATCTCGAGTGCAGCAAAGGCCTTTTTCACTCGTGTTACACATTATATTTTTCCTACAGTCACTATAAAACATATAAATAATTATTAGTCTTTCAAACACTATACAACACGTTTTTAGGTTCAGCTGGCAAAACAAATGGTGCCCTAGAGAAAGTAGTACCCGCGGTCCGTATCCCTCCGCTATTTTTCCTCGGCAAGAAATGTGCTCCGCTTTTTAAGGACATAGTTCCGTATGTTTTTGTAATTTGAAGTAGTTTCCGCGCCTAAAAAAAATGCTTTAAAGGTATTTTCTTGTTAATTAAGATTGTAGGAATGTTTTAAAAAAATTTTAAAAGAAAAGTCCAGAAAGTTCAGAAATACCGAAACTATAAACACGAAATGACAGGTTAAATCGTAGTTATAATAGTCAATCAGCTGCTCATAGTATTATTATCTTTAAGTGTTGCCAACCTATTTCCAAGTGTACACGGATTACGTGCATAATAGAAACACGCTGTTTTGTGTTGTTTCGTTGGAATCCTGATGTGCGGCACAGTATAAACCGTGCGGCACAGTATAAACCGTACGACAAAGTATAAACCGTACGGCAAAGTATAAATATGCAGCAATTAGCTACTACTAACAGTCTGTACTATAAAAAGTACAAGGAAGCAAACTTTGTCGGGTGACTGTAGGAAAAATCTATTTTTTTACATCCTTCAATTAATTGTACTGTTATGAAAAATATTTGTCTTGCAATTAAACTAAACTGTGCAATTTACAATGATGTTTAAATTTATTTTCACGACCATAGCACAGTACAATCGATAAAGCTATTATGGTCGTGAAAAAACTTGTGATGGTCGAGATGCCCCGGTTGTGAAATCACGTATTATTTGGCTCTGTTCTGGTGCCAGCCCTACACGTCATGTTTGATGAGGCAAAGTGGATTTCTAGGTTAACTTACTCACTCACTCCCATGGCCATTTATGCCCAAGGTGGGATTTGGCCTCACCAACAACTATTCTCCATCTCTCTCGATCTTCTGCCTCTTCCACTGCTGCCCCCACTACTCCTCTGACGTCCTTGGAGACACTATCCCACCATCTCTTCTTGTGCCTTCCTAATGGTCGTTTCCCTTCTGGCTTTCCTATACTTGCTTCGTTTAATAGTGAACCCCGTTCTCTCCGTAGTGCGTGACCTGCCCACCTTACTCTTTGCTTTCCATTTTTTTCTTTTTTTTCTAGGTTAACTTAGCAATTAAAATATAATATCAAAATTAACACCATGTCTACTTCATAAATTACTATGTACAATCGTGGACACACCAAAATTACAAAAAGCACAAACTTACCTATTTGAATCTTTTACTTGATTTTTTTACTGCAAAACCACCGGTACAACAAAACTAACGCACATCCCGAACCAGTCTCTAAAACCAACTGACGCTATCGCTGCCAGGCTTGCCACTGTCGTGTTCCAAAGTTGCAAATTTTGCCATTATGGTCGGGACGTCAAATCAAGGGACAGACTTATTTTGTCATGGTAGTCTTTTCGCAATAAAAAAAATATTATATGCTCATTTTTAGTAAATTTAATAACTATTGATGACATAAAAATATGGCATTATATATTTCAGCATGAGTAAATAGTCTAAAAACAGCGTGAAAGTTGAAGAATGTACCTTAGGGACACGTGATGGTCGTGAATTTTGAGACTTTAAAAACAAAAAACCTAGAACCAATTCAAAACCAAATAAATGTTTTTAACATGTTGCCCCAAAAAATATTAAAACATAATAATATACTACAAATACAGTATCCACAAAATAAAAGGCCAGGGACATTAAAACGTACGTTTCAAAATGTTCACTCATAGGCAGGTTAAATTAAATTAAATTAGATATAACGTTTTAGGGAAAAGATTTGTTGTAGTCTGCCCACAACACTTTTCTAAGTTTTCAGCTTACTTTTACGGTTTCACAAACTAAGTGCTTGTTTTGGGAAACCCGCCACATAATTTTGACAAAGCTACGGTATTTACATTTTAGCTATTTAATTTTTTCTGATGACGAAGTCAAACTATATAGGTGTATTCAACTAAAAGGAAATACAGTTTTGACTTTAACAATTTTTAAATGTGTTTATAAAAAAAGTGACTTTTGATGAGATATAAAGTTTAGTTATATTTGATCTGAAGTACTGAACAAAAATAAAACTCAAATAAGGTCCATAAGTTCCCACTTATTATTCTTCCACTTTTGGGACTTGAGTAGTAGAGTAGTGTAGAAAGTAAAGTACAGCAGTATGGACAGAAAGTTGATGTAGGAAATCTGTTTAAATAACTTCACATTTTAAAATAGCTACCATATATAAAATAGTATTATTTAAATTCTGAATTATTGATAGGTTGTCCATCTTGAGGCATTGTTGGAAATAAAGGACAAACGGCTACGAGAGCTGACTGCCAATGTAGATCGGATGAAAGCCAGACAAGATGATTCAAAAGAGAGTTTTCATTCAATATCTGCTTAGTATCTGAAATATTCGGTATCATCAACATTTGAACAATAACTCTAAATACTCCTTGTGTTGCCAAACCTAATTATGTGATTCACTATTAGAATTACTTCAAAACACTTCAAAATTATATTGTTGTTAAATTGTTTTCTATTTTTCATTTTATTTTTTATTTATTTTAGTTTGTACATTATTCATAATGAGTGTTTAGAAGGGTATTTTTGTGCATAGTGGGGGAGCTAAAGTAAAAACCCCATAACAAAACTGCAAATTGTGATAAGAGTATGCACTTTGGTGGGAATGTAGTTTAAGGTTAGGCAATGCAAATAAGATGGGGAGGCACCACCAAAGTTGCTATAATCCAAAATGGCAGAGATTTTTCAAAATAGCTGCCCGTATTTTGGGTTTTATATATATTTTCTTTTGACATACATCATGCAAAATGGTGTTTCTTATCAGTTTTTAAGTTTTTAGGTATATGGTAAGTAAATAAGTTGAGTAATAATGTAATAAACGTAAATTTATTTACAGAAAATGTATATCCCCAAATCAAAAATACACTTTATATTTTAGAAGTTGCAGAATATTTCTACCAACACTATTTTTAGCGAATTTCCCTACAGGGAAGTAGCTATTACCGTAGGTCTCGTGGTAAGACCTAGGCCCGGGACCGATTTACTTTTTTATTTTGATGTCCCCAGAGGCCAAAAACACCATTCGTTCAAATTTGTATATATGTAGGATGTATATATTTGTGTGTGTGTCCATGAGCACGATAACTTGAGTAATTTTTATCCGAATTAGATGAAATTTGGTTTAAAGGTGTAAGGCGGGATAAACTTGAATGAGTTCACAAACCAACATTATCGGACCATGGGAACGGGGTTTTATAGGGTAAAATTTGGGTTTTCTAATTTTTGAGCCTAAAAACATAATATTTTCCAATTTCTATCCATACCTTATTAAAGAACTTAAAAATAGAAATAATTTAGTAGGCTATATCAACGTGTTTTTGTACGGTTATTGGTAAAAGAGAAAATTTAAAAAATTTTATATTTAAAATTCCCATATTATTCTTATGGAGAATATTGTAAAATGTTGTATAGTTTGGTTGTTTATGGATATATGTTGATAAAAAATGGCAAATTTTTTTTTTATTTTATACCAAGCTATTAATATTTTACTAAAAAACTAACTTTATTAGTTTCCTTGTAGCAGCAAACCTAGGTACTCGTTAAACCTAATGTTGTTTAAATAGATTTAATCAAAAATCAATTCAGACAAATGGAAATTCACTTAGTCTGCAGGTTTGCTGTGGCGGGAGTATTATTGTTCACATTCATTCTTGCATTTCCACAATAATGTGGAAGATAAACCAGCAGTTCTGCAGCTGCACTTGTGTTTTCAGAATTTGCAAACACATTTTATGAGTTCTTTGCAGGAATCAGAAATTTCTGATACTTCCGACCATTTCAACTGCCAAGATTCATTATGCAACCACCAACCCCAATCGTTTAGTAATGTTGCACACTACGCAATACTTGCTGTAGTAATGCACCTTTTATTGGTGGAAGACTTTCTATTGGGCGATTTTTGGTCATGAACAATTCTTGTCTTGCTTCATTAACACTGATGTTGTCACTAATCCAAAATTTCGTTAGGAACCGCATTTTGTGGTTGAGATATAAACGAAAATGCAGTAGTGGCTTCTTAAAGAGCATCCATGAATTCCAAGTTGATTTGTTTGACTTTCCTGTGAAATTAGGAACCTTTGCAGCCTGTGAAAGCTTGGGATCATGGTAAAGCAATAGCATTTCCCATATATAGCTTCAGCTATATAATATACTAGCTGTAACCCACGGGCTTTGCCCCGTTTAACTTCTTAATTTTCAAGATGATCTCGCAATCACGTCCTGATGGTTGGAGCTCGTTCGCTACGCTCACTCACCATTAGGTTGGAGCTCGTTCGCTGCGCTCACTTGCCTTCAGGTTAGCTCGTTCGCTACGCTAACTCGCCTCCAGGTTGAAGTTCGTTCGCTACGCTCACTCACCTTTTGGTTGCAAATTAGCTGTTGTCATAAATAAAAAAAAAAATAATAGTGCTGCACCCTGTTGGTAATCCTTGTAACTTTAATGCTATTGAACATCATAGAACAGAACCGACTTGTTTAATTGAAACAGCTGTTAAGATTCATTAATTCCATTTCTCATAAGGTTAACATGGGAAAATCCAGAGCCACTGGGGCGGAGAGCAGAGGTCGGAGGGTAAAATCCTTTCTTAGTGAGCGTCTACTACCCAAAAGGAAGATGCCTGCCAAGTTTCAGGTTCCTAGATCTTATGGTTTCTGAGATTTCGTGATGAGTGAGTGAGTGAGTGAGTGAGTGAATGAATGAGTCAGTGGTATTTGAGCTTTATATATATAGATGAACTAGAATAAATCTGTAATTTTTCCTGTTCTCAATAACTTAACACCATAGACTCTGCCGATTTAACTGTCACATTACCTTGTTTGCCTACAATTACCCTGCTATCAATGACATTAAGGGCATCATTATTTTTAGAAACATGAGATTCCTAGCTCTTTAAGGGGAGCTGAACCTAAAATTTTTAAATTTTTTTTAAAAATTTTTTTATTTAAGTTTTAGATTCTTTGTTTTATCCTGAAAAAGAAAAAATATATATATATATTAATAGGTATCACCTCCCAAAACTGGAAAAAACAAAAAAAAAAAAAACAAAGTAAAGCACCAAATTTTCTGAGCATAGTGAGTAGACCTAATAAGGCTGAACCGAAAATTTTTAAATTTAAAAATTTTTTTTTTTATTTTAGTTTTAGATTCTTTGTTTTATCCTGAAAAAGAAAATATATATATATTAATAGGTATCACCTCCCAAAACTACAAAAAAAAAGTAAAGCACCAAATTTTCTGAGCACAGTGAGTAGACCTAGTAAGGCTTTATGTCATCTTAGTTCGCGACTTTCCGAAAAACTTGTTTTTTTAATGATAAAGGTACATTTTTATCAAGAAGTAATAAAGATATCTTGATGAAATTTTTACCAAGTGTACCTTACATCACTACAAATATGTGGAACTAGAATTATCACCATAGGATCAATAGTAAAAATTACAAAAATTAAAAAAATATATTTTTTGTCTAAAAAAATTAGAATTTTTCAAAAATAAAAATAAAATGAAATTTGTTACCATAGAAACATAATTCTAGTTCAACACACTCTTAAAGCACATATATTAACTGTCTACAATTTCTAAAGCTGTAGGTTAAATAGTTTCTGAGAAAAATGTACCTAAACTTAGAGAATTTAACATGGGCTCTTATGGGTGGTTCAGCTCCCCAAATGTACTGTAAAGTGCTCGTACCTTAGCAACATATTTGACTTGAAATGATTGGTTTCTCCAGATTTCAGTTTGATGTCACTCTCAATTAAACTATTGTATTAATCGACTTATTTCTGATTTTAATTTTTCTGATTCATCATTCTGATTCATTCCATTCCATTTATATCAACATCGGCGGGAAAACCATTTATATCATCAAAGTTCTGAAAGTTTTTGAAAGCGTTACATATCCGGTGCTACGAGCGTTTACATTTTTATTATTTGCAGGGCAAAGCCAACTATCTTTATCTGTCTTTTGGCACAGTATAAAAATGGTCCAATCAACAGCTTTTGGTTTATATCCACCCAAGTCACTCGGAGGAACTGTGTAACCGCTATGCCATTTTTAGAATTTAATCTTCATTCTCTCGAATCAGAAAAAAAAATAAAACCCCCAGACCTGGCACCATGTTAGCCCCGGTGTGACGGCCAAATTTGTACATGTTTTCCTAATAAAACTACCTTCAGAACGTGAGCGACACAATAATAAACACAACAATGACCTGTAGTATCAGCTGTTTGGCAATATTTGTCTATTTAGCATTGCCAACCTGTTAGAGAAAAATAATTGAAAGTGACATAAGTTTGTTGACATTTTTATCCTCCTATATTTCATGGAAAAATATCTCAAGGAAGAAGAAGAAACTCTGTTTCCAGTTATTTTGCATTATTTTTATTTTCCTTGTGTCTCAATGGATGTAGGCAAAGGTGAAAAACACATTATAAAAAAACGTTGTAGGTGAAAAACTTAACTCTTAAAATAAACAGCTTTTTGGTGACCTTCAGAATTGGCTGAAAACTTGTACATTTTCAGCCTTAGATTATAGAGAAGATATAATTGTAATATATTACAAACTTGGTATTAAATTAAAGGCCGGAATCTCCAGATTGAGATGATACCAATATTTTATAGTGTGAATGCCATTTTCAAGCTTTTATCAGTAAATAAATAAGTTAACACAAAATACGGGCAGCCATTTTGAAAAATAGCCGCCATTTTGCATTATAACAACTTTAGGCAATGCCTCCCCATCTTATTTTAGTTGTCGGACCATAACGTTCATTCATACCAAAAGGGTTTTTCTTATCACAATTTGCAGTTTTGATATACACGTAGCTGTAGCTCCCCCACTAGCAGTCAACTAAGCAAGTATGGACATAAGTGTGGATCATGTTTTTTTTCCTACAGTTACCTAACAATGTGCATGTTCTCTCACTGATTTGAGAAAGCAAAGTGGCCAATTCGCTCATCGGTGAGACAATGTTAACATTGTCTCACTCTAATTAAAAAAAAACAATAAAAAATAACATAATTTGCAATAACTTTTGAACCGTAATTTTTACAGAAATGGGAGTTCTACCGTTTTGTTCAGAATTTAGAGGGCTACAACATTTTTGAGAAAATCCTATTTTTCCGTTATTTTATGGATTTTTATGGGAAAACTTACATTAAAAATCAAAATTTCAAAAAAATTTAAAAAACGCCTGGAGATACCATCGATTAGTACCTACATACCAAATTTCATCAAAATCGGACTACAGGTTTGGTATGTAGCTCTGTACATATCCAGACACACACACACACACACCAACACACACAGACATCACTTTGAAAACCACCAGGGGGATCCAAAACGGATATATCCACTCAAAACTCAAACTCGAAAAATTTCAAGTTCCTAGGAATCAATCCTTGGCCCATTTTTATTTTTTTAAATTTATATTAGGGCTATTGACCTTCCAATGACAATAAACACCT